ACATATCCATGCCTGAAGTTAACAAACTCTCCAACATTCGCCTCTCTCCTCTCATGAGGAAAGTACATTCCTAAGAAAGATTTCTTAAACTCTTCCCACTCTATGGGACCTGACTCAACCGACCTATTATCTTTCCAATGAGTGTACCATACTTGAGCAACTTCCCTCAATTGCTACAAATCCAAGTCTGCCTTCTCCCAAGAAGTCACCTCTATATCACTCAACACCTTATACACTCCATTTAGAAGCTCTTCGGGATCCTCTCCCACCTAAGAGCCAAGAAAGATAGGAGGATTCATCCTCACAAAGTCCCCAATCTAGAGGTCATGGTACTCTCTAAAGCATTCACCCTAGGCTCAACACCTCTATTCACATGAGTTGTTTTGACTTGGTATAGTGCAAGGAGAGCCTCTCTAATCTCCCATTAGTTATGTCCGGGGGAACCATCGGAACCGCATCCCCTTGACCCACTATAGGACTTGCTCAACTTGAAAAACTCCCTCATGCACTTCTTCCTCTTCCCACCTTCTTATGACCATCCTTCTAGAATTTATTTTCTAAAAAACAAGAGAAGATATTAGGAATAACACTTATTATCTCAAATCTATGGAACGACACAAGATTGATGAAGAAAGTGAAACTCTATCATCCTATAGCCTCTCGCTCATAGATGTGTCGCGACTCACACCGATGCACAAGACTCTAATAAACGTGGATTTAATGAGACTTGGATTCCTAAAGACTACTTCCCAAAACCTTATACTTTGATACCAAGTTTGTTACGACCCGAGAGCACAACCTAGAAGACATGGCATTTTCTCGAATCACACAAGGCGTGTTTGACCTCTTAGAAGTCTTGTACAACTCTTTGACATCACTCATTGCATACATGTATGAAAAGTAATGCGGAATTAAAACTTTTCACACGAAATAGTAATACTTCAAAATATCTCTTTTATAGAAAATCATGAAAGAAGACAGTCCCAAAGTCGTCATCTTAGACACACGAATATCTTGGTACACTGCCCATACATAAACGTATACAAATATCTATGTATAATACTTTCAATAAGAAAAATTAAACATCATGATGTCCTCGAATCTAGTTAGTACATACCAACACTTGCTTGAATGAACACTAATTCAAGCTTCCACTTCGAGACTTCTCTTAAATGTCACTTTACACCTTTAAGAGATAGATACAGTATATGAAATTAGTACATTAGAATGCACTAAGTATGATGACATGCAATAAAATCATGCTAAAAGGACATTGGTATAACACATGCTCTTTTTTAGTAGAATTTCATAAAATAAGTATAAGAGATCACATTAAGTCAATATAAGCACATATAGTCACATTACACAATATAGCATCAATATCACTTCAAATCACATAACGGGTGAATGGAACTCATCGATGAAACCCTACATACCTTGAGGATCGCCCCGAAGTAATAGAGGAATAGGAGATTTGAAGCTTAAAACCTTAGTTTTCTCGTTAGACTTTGAGAGAGAATAAGGTAAGATTGATATAGATGGGATTTAGGGATTTGAGTGAATGAGAGAGTTGGGATAATTTTAGGCACGTAAGGGTAGTTATAAGTCTTAGAATTGGATCAAAATGACATAGTATAAATATTAAATACATAGGAAAAGACCCAAATACCCTTAAGAAATAATTGTCAAGCAGTTATAAGGTTTGGACAACTCGTAGTAGTCAACCGTAAAACCAACTTCAGAAACCCAATATTCACCTTACTTTCTACAAGGCCATTCTACGGTTTGTCAATTCGTAGAACTCAAATTCAAGTTCAAAATTTTACTAAGTCTAGGACCTTCTGCGAAACCCATCTACCATCCATAATCCAAATGATGGCCCGTCCGATTCACTCGTAGGTCAAACTTCAGAAATTTAAATTTCTCAAATCTCAACTTTATCCTTACGATGTCATCTACGACCTGTAGAAATTCTATGAACCGTAAACTGGTCTTAGGACACAACCAGTTGCCAAAACATGAAGTCTGTTCCTTTCTCAACTTCAGGTGTTACAGACATCCTGGATGACGTTGGCTTGGGTGCTAGCAATGTTGATTTCTCCCTCATTTGTGTTTTCTTAGTCTCAATCTTACTCTGATACGACACTGTTACATTCTTAGTCTTCTCTAACTTGCACAACTTGCTTAGGATTTTGTTATGTCAAGTAAATGAAAAATTTTACCATGCATGAGGCACAAGTATGATGTGTCAGACAAAATTGTATGAGACCCATTTATATTTTGCCAAGTGGATTCATTTCAGAAAAATTGTCAAACTTATCTCTCGCTCTCATTCTTTTGATGTTTTATTTTTTCTCTTTCTTACTTTTTTCTTTTGGTTTCTTTTCTAACAATTCTTCCAAGTTTTATACTTCCACTTAAATAATTTTTCATGAAAAATATGAGATTTTAAAAATTGTGTCGGACTCATTTTATTTCTAACATTTTGATATTATTTTGTCATCTTGATATTAGTTATTTATATTATTAAAAACAGTTACAAAAATTATTTGTTAATTTACAAAGATATAAATGATTTTAATTTTTCTATTTTGTCATAACAATTCATTATTTTTGAAATTATAAATAAAATTTATAAATTTACCAAAAAAATTAAGGTATAAATTAGTAAAAATATTATTCTATTATGATTTCTTAAGAAATTTGTAAAAATAAAAAAAGGTAGAATGTTATTACTATTATGAAAAATAAAGAAGATATAAATTTAATAAGTTATTTTATTTTACTCTCAACAATTTCATAATCCAAAAACACTTCAATCCACAAATACTCTTCAATAAGTAAATAGAATGGAAAGAGCATCAATGATCTTGACAAAACTATACATAAGTTTTAATACTATTATCATGAAGTTCAAAAACAAAAAAAAAGTCCATAAACATTAACATAAATACATATTATTTATGTCAATTTATATGATATTTTTATTCTTAAATTCAAGCTATGAGAAAATTGATAAATATTGTTTATCTACTTTTCTTATACATTTCTCAAGAAATTATAAATATAAATAATAATTTTTTCCTTAAAAGAATTTTTGCAATTTTACACAATTTAGTTTATAACTTTTATAAAAATTAATTGTTACGATTAAAAATACTATTTATATCTTGATTTTAGAAATTAAAAAAAAATTAAAATAACTATTTTTTTATAATAGAATAAATAACATAGAATAGAAAAAATAATATTAAAATAATATATTAAAAATCGTAAAATTTGAATTTAAATTAGTACATATAAAAAAAAGCATAAACTAATTAGACCAACAAATAAAATTCTTAAAAGATTTGGTTAACATAATCTTAAAGAAGAAGAAAAATATTTAAAAGAATTAAAACGCAAAATATATTGAAGAAGGGGCATAAAACCAAAAAATTGACAGGAGGACTTTAAAATGTCCTTTTATTAGCTAGCAAATGGGTCCCATTCATGTCCATTCGTCAATAAAACAGTGTGCTACACAAGTATGACAATAAAATTTTTCCAAGTAAACCTAGGTTAGTAAACTCAAGATCACTAAAGGAATGGTAGATAAGGAAGATCTTCCAACAATAAATCCAAAAGCATGGGTAAGATTGATATGAAAATTGATTAGTTCTGGAAAGTGCAATTGGTTACATTTGAGATCCACGGGCACAAAACAAAATGCTATTCCTATTATACCAAGTAGCCAAATAATTGAAATGTTAATCTTCTATTTGTCTTCTTGTACAAAGAGTGCAAATTCATTATCCGTTTGGCCATAAATTTTGCAAGTAAAACTTGGGAAAAAACTTGGCAAATTTTGTTTGTCCATACACTTTTTTATTATTTGGCAAATTTTTTTGGCAATTTTTCAAATTCCCAAATACTAGAAAAAACTAGTATTTGGGCCAAATTTCATTATTTGGAAAGTTTTAGAAATTCAATTTCTACCCTTAACTTTTTATTTTACAAAAATAATATATTTATTGACACCAACCAATTCAATTAGCTCCATTCTACATGCATTCTTTTGATTTCATACATTCCTTTATTACAGTTAGTCTTAATGAACTAGCTACTAAATAAAACATGAATTGCATTTATTTTATTTTGATAGATAAATATTACGTTGTTGATGCTGGTCTACGGAACACAAGAGGATTTTTAGCTCCATTCATTGGAATGCGCTATCATTTGCAGGACTACCGAGGAAGTGAAAGAGAGCCTAAGAATGGAAAAGAGCTATTTAATTATAAACATACTTCTCTGCGCAATGTAATTGAAAGAACTTTTGGTGCATGGAAAAGTAAATTAAGAATACTAAAACAAGGCATGAACAACTATGAATGTGACATGCAAGTGAAAATAGTAATTGCATGCGCTGTATTGCATAATTTTTTACGTGAACATCAAAGTAGTGATGGAATATTCAATGAAAATGAAAATGATGATATAGTTGTTGATGAAAGTGACGAACTACTGGCTCAGGGTAACAACATCGCTTCATCTTCTCAATCGTCTGATTCGAAAATGTAAGCTCATCGAGAAGAGATTGTTCATAAAATGTGGGAAGATTATATCAAAGAATAGGTTGAACTCTTTCAGATGAGAAATCATATGTTCTTCAGTGATTGCAATATTTATTTCCTTTTGTTTTCTTCTCTTTTTTTCCCCGAATTTATATTAGTTGTATTTTCATTATCATGATTTGTACCAAGACCTTTTCACTATACGAATATTTACTGTAATGATTCTTGTTGATTTGTTGCGGAAGTCATAAATCTTGTTACGTGAGATTTATATTGCGCTATGTAATACAAATTTATGGTTAGTTTGATAGTTTTAAAAACTTATGGGTATAAATCATATTTCTTAAAAAAATGAAATATGTTTCTCAAATTCTATGGCCAAACACATGAAAAAATTTCACCCAAATTTTCATCCAAATAATATTTGCCAAAAATATTTGAATATCTATGGCCAAACGCTAGCTATAACTCCTTAAAACAAACTAATGCAAGTTCAAATTACAGCGGCAAAGGGGACCCCCAAAGAATAAAATAAGTAGAGAACTCTTGTGAAAAATCATTGCCAAAAATGTTTTAAAATGATTTTATGGCGTCATACTACAGTATTTTAGTATACAAACTATATTTCTGTTGTATCCTGACAAGCAAAATAGGTTGGGGCACCTTTCTCCCATCAATCACCAAACTCTGGAAAAATGAATGATTCCCTAACCTAAACTGTTAAAGGTTTGGAACTATTCACAAATGTGGCACTTTTGTCGAATCCCTCGAGCACTAAAATTCTCATTGCCTCCAAACCATTCTGTAATGTGAAGTCCAACTGCATTTTTTTAAAAAAGAAAAAAAGTATCATCAATATAGGGCTGTGCTCCAGAAGTTCACTTGTTAGAACAATAAGAAAAAGCAAGTTACCTCTTCACGTTCTTGTCGATTAAATGCACGAAGAACAAAACTTGCTGGATCCATTTTCCCTGGAGGCCTCCCAATGCCTAAAGAAATTATAAAGTTTTAGAACCGTAATAACATACATTAATGATGTACTTAAAGATCTGAGGAAATACCTATTCGCAAGCGTGGAAAATCACGGTTTCCTTTAAGATGATTCATAATGCTCCTCATCCTTTACAACAAAAAAAACAAGGGATTAGTCATGCCAATATCCATGAAACAGAGTGCAAAAATATATCTACTCTCAGAAAATATTGCACAAACAAATTCTTTAGATCACCAAGGTTTTCCTATTTCATTTTCCATTTTTTTTGGTTCTCAGAGCTTAATCTAAATCTACCCAGATAGTCTTAATAGTACTGCCTCCATTTTTTTTAATCACGTATCAAGCTTCATAATCCATGTATCAGAAGCCCCAGGGTTTCGCCTAGTGGTGAGAGCTTAATGCGTGATGTGTGGATTAGGTGCGTAACAAGTTTGAAATGTGTACCACTAGCTCTAAGGAATTCACTTTTATCAGTAAGAGAAAAACCATATGTTTAATTCTCTCACTTAAAGCCTGGAGAAAAACAGTCAACAAGCTGTTTTGAGTCCAGCTCAAGGTGATAATTTGAGTGTGAAGACTTATGTTAAATTTTCCATCCACAAAACTCTTACCTACCAAGAAAACGTGTAAAACAACGAGAAATTGAGGATGCAAGCCAGAAACTAACAAAACCCAACTATTTGGTCAATAGACCTGCTTGACTTACGAAACTACGCAAATCCATGAATATTACGTCTTCTACACACTTTTATAATTTATCAACCACAAACAGTTTATAAGGAGTGAACTATAAAATGCTAGGTATCCATCAATTATCTTGCTTCTATCATTCAATTACAATCTACATTATTCAGGCACTACATATCCAAGCAAATAGCTTTTGGAATTGACTTCAGAATCATTATAGGCACGTGATGAAGGTTCTACGATAAAGGAAACTTTCTAAAGAAAGATTACCCATTGTGTCCTCCATGACCACCTTTTGGCAATAACCGCAACTTTGCAAAAGGAAGATCTAAGTCATCAAAAACCTGCAGTTACAAAGTTTACTTAGAAGTTGTTACAAAGATAAGTTCTATGCTCAACTGTCATAGCTTACCACAAGAACTTGCTTCAGTGGAATCTTATAATATGAAACAATTGCCCCAACCTGAGAAACAATGTAAATATCAATTTTATATTACTTGGTGGATTGAAGTTTTAAGATATAGGTCACGCTAAGATGAGTGAACTTACAGACTCACCACTTGCATTCATGAATGTTTGAGGCTTAGCAAGCATAATTGGAACATCTCCAATGAAACCTAGAGAACCCAACAAACATGAAAAAGTCCCAAAACTGAAGAGCAAAATTGAATGACTGAGTTATTTATCAGACTTGTTCCTTCTTTCCAGGTCCATATTGGAATAAAATTTGGTAATATAATCTACCCTATTAACATAGCATGTCAATGCAGTTCACCAAAAAATAGCAAAATATCAGCATTAAAGGTATAAAGTCTAATGAGAAAGAAAATCTCAATGCAACAAGACTGCTAGCTTCTATAATTAGCTAAGTTAAATGGAGTAACCGATAAGAGCGTGTGTAAATTCTTTTGCTAATTTAAGTGCATTTTGAACAATGTAGAGGAAGCACCTACATAATTGGAACGAATACAGCAAATAAACTGCCCATGTAACAAAGGTTATCATCAACAAACGGATTAGTATCATTTTTTACTAATTTGATAACCAATAAATCCTAGCACCAGTGGATACAATTTCCAACTTTGTGGAAAATCACCTCCCCCTACCCTTCTACACTTGTATACCAGGCTTGGCCGCTTAGGTTTGAACCCCCAAGATGGACCTAACCCCACATATCACGGGCTGTGCTCTTACCACAAGACCAATGTTTATGAATATTAAAATTTAATCAGCAAACAGCTACAAATTATTAAAACCAAAAAACAGACTAGGTAATGCAATAATATTAGACAAGATCACTATATAACAAGATAGAATGATAACTCTTGAATCAAGCAAAAAAAAAGTACCTTTTCCAAATTGAGCTTTGAAGGAAACACTGCCCATTGATATTCCTTCAGCATCAGCTATAGTATCTATCATCTCAAAACCCACCTGCCAAATCAAATAACCAAACTCATTACATACATAAAAAATCATTAGGAACATCAAACACAGAAGAAAAATTAAGAGAACGCACGTTGTGACGGGTACCAGCATATCGTTTCCCGGGGTTACCGAGGCCAACGATGAGCCATGGCTGTGGCTTTGGCTTCGGTTTCTCCGGCAGAGGCGCGATTATTGCCGGTGTGTCTGGTGGGGAGGTTTGGGTAGTCATTGAACAAGATATTTGGTATAAAGAGCCGGCCGCAGCGGTGTTGCTCATCCAACCCCTCCGAAACGAGGATGAATTTAGGGTTTTGGCCACGGAGAAGGAGGAGAAAAGGGAGCGGCCGCAGCGGCAGAGGACCGTCGCCGATGATGCAGTGCTAGAAATTACACATGCTACTTTCATTGTGCTTTCTATATGTTAAAAGGGAGTTGGTCGAAACCGAATTTAGAACAAAAAAGGATTGGTTGAATTGATATTGCAACACCATGGGGGCTAACGGCGTTGTCTTGTGTTTTCATAAAATATATTTAAAAAATAAATGAAAAAAAATTAAAAATATCGTTAAACTTTTTAAATTTTTTGAGATTGTCTCCATTAATGATTTTGTTTAGAAATGTTTCTTTTGTTAATTGTTTGGTTAAAAAAATGCACCTATTATTCACATCGTAGATATTTTTTAATCTAATAAAAATTAGGAAAAATAACCCCACACATGTATTTAGGGCTTAATATTACAGTTTTTAGATGTAATTTTTTTATATAAATATTTAATAACATTTTAATTACAGGTATTAAAAGATTACTTTTAATATAATTTAATTTATTTTATTTTATTAATCATTTATTTTTTTTATAATTACATTATAATTAATAAGTAAAAGAAATAAACTAATGTTAGAGAATCAATTGTAATTATTTATTACATATTTTAGGGATTTTTGTTTTCAATTTTCACACGGCAACCCACCACCATCTACCCACATGCAAAATTCACCCCCACCCCATGTTCCTCTTTTACAAAGAAGTAACTTTTTGCATCTCACTCTTCATTGTTCGTCTTCATTCAAAAAAAAAAAATGGCAGAATTCTTCCGTATATGATTCAATGATTTACACGTTTTATTTTTGTAGTTATCTATATAATTTTCTGATCATTTTTTTCTATTGTGAATTTATTCACCCATTTTTTTCCTATTATTTCTAATATATTTATCTTCTCGTTCTGATAATTGATAGGCATTTTTAAAAAGTTAAAAATTATTTTATCAAGAATATAAGATGAAAAATGAAAGAGAAAGTTACATGATGGATAAATTTTTCACTAACGACATATAAATTTTGACAATCGATCAACTAAGTTATTATCAAAATTTTCCATTGGTATCTGTATATACGTTTAATTGATTATTTTTAATTAATTTTTATAATATTATGAATCAAAAATAGAATCTTACTTTTTAATATTCTCATTTTTGGAGTTTGATTAAAGCTAACTTTTTGTGAAATATGATGTAAATGTACATTATTTCATATAATTAGATCTAATCTAATTTATGATGAATAATCATATAAAAAAATTATCAATCATAATGCGAAATTTTTTATATACAAATATTTATTATAATCCTTTGTTATAATATAACAATTGATTTAATAACCAAATATTTATACTTTATTAATATAAAAATAATAAATAATTTAATTTGTTAAGCGAAAATCGATCAATTAAATATATATGCACGTATCAAATAAGAGATTTTAATAGTTTAGTTGATTAGATATCTATACGATTTATCTTGTAAGTAAAACTTTTACTATCCAGTAATAATTTCCTCCTTTATTTTAACCTTCTCATATTTTAATATAATAAAAACTTAGAAATAATATATGGGTCATTTATCGAATTAAAATAAATATGTAAATGACAAAAGCTACTCTATTCGATAAATAGAAAAGATTGATGGGAAAGAAAATGAAATTAAAATAAAGAGCTAGGAGTAAAAGGTAGGATAGAGACAACGAATAAGGTAGAACCACAAATTTTTTATTAAAAAAATAATCACTCATACAACAACTAATTCCTATGTCGCTCACCCTATAAATATATAAATTATGTATAATTAAATGCTTCATGAGTACTTTTTTTCATAACCGTATATATAAAGTTCTCACTAATATTATCATATCCTTCAAATCCAAAGCACTGTAAACATAATCAAATTTCAAAATCGCACAGATTTTTAAATTACATCATTTATTAGTTTTTCTGGCTGTAGATGAAATGTAATAAATTATATAATATAAAAAAAAATTTAAAATGTTATTATGTTGGTAGTGCTTCGAATTTGAAAGATATGATAATGTTAGTAAGAGAGTTTACATATATGATTCTAAAGAAATTTACTGATAAAGTATGTAACCATACACAATGAAATTTTTTATGGTGTGAGAGGCATAGAAATGAGTTGATTAATGAGAGATTAGTTTTTCATAAAAAATATGTGGGTCCTACCTTATTCATTGTCCCTCTTCTATCTTTTATCCCCCGGCTGCTTGGCGGGTAAGGCGGAATTGAGGCATTACATGCTGTCTTACCCAGTACATTTAATAGCTTCCATGGACCTACAACCTGAGATTACAGAGGACTTTCTTTTATTTACTGGAGTTTCTTGTTCCCGCGCCCCCTGGTACCGAGACCCCCGGTAGTCGAGTCACAAAAAGGTCTATGATGAGCCCTTGAAAGCCGTAGAATTTCATGTGTGAAGCATAGTGAGAGTGACACAGATCTCCTTCACGGAATTAGGAGGCACACAGGTGGGTATACCATGAGAAATGCGGGTAAGCGACGGGCTACTTCGTTACTCCACAAAACCAGTTTTGATTTCCAGAAAGATCCCACAGGATGGGTTAGGTGCTTAGCTTAAGGTGAAAGTCCAAAGCTTAATAAGGCGAAAGGCGAAGCCGAGGCAAGAGCAAGTCAATTCTCAATGCGATGCTGCTATCCGTTCGACGATCCCAGTAAGTGATGCTATGTGCTCTTATCTGTCTGTTCTAACTGCAGGTAGTGCCCCCTCCATCTTTCTTCTGGGGTTTGCTCAGTCAAAATACCCAAGATCTAAATCTAGCGAAACCATACTGCTGCCGCTACCCTTCGGGCAACACGCGATGCAGCCAAAAGAGATCCCACTATAGAAGTGTCTAGCCGGACGACGAAGCCTCCTCTTCAGATAAAGATGTCTCCGACGCTACTCTCTCGGCAAGCGTAGAATAAGAGGAGCCGTCTTAGGAAATGACTTAACTTAAAAGACAGATGCCGCCGCTGCGAGGCGAGGGAGCAACAATTGAGAGTTCGCTTTGCCAGTCCATGAATATGAAGACGACGGTGCTAGAGAATCAGTGATTGGGGGAATAATGATTGTCGAAGGGAGGTAGCGGTCTAAGCCTCTTAGGCTTGGCACAGGGGATTCCATTTCGATCTAAGCCCGAAAACCCATATCTTTATATACGAAATTACTTTTTTCATTTTTTTTAGATCAATCTTTTCTATTTTTTCATTTTTCTAAGTTTCTTCTTAGGGTAAAGAACGAACAAAGAACAAAATTGGAATTTGATCAACTCTATTTCATTTTGCGGTGGTACCACACTGGTTGTTATCAACGTTGGTCAAAAGATAATTAATGTATAGAGAAGAAGTTGTGAATAAAATCTTTTCTCTTTAGATTTTTCTCAAAATAGTCAAAATGTTATTTATTAGATTTTCCGTAAAATTAATGGTCTTATTATTTATTTTACTAAGTTCTTTTTTGAGATATTTTATTTAATGATGAGTTTATCTTAATGAGATACATGTGTTAGTCGTTATAGTGGTTAAACTAGTTTGTTGGTCATCAAAGTGATCAAATTAGTATTTTATGAATGATATACATCATTAATTTTGTTATTTGTATATGATATCACGTGATAAGTACATATTACTTGAAAATAAATGAACAATTAAATAATATAATTGTTAGAGCTTATAAAATCAATTACTTTATAGATAGTGAACATGATGAACAAATTATTTGGGTAAAGGGTTCGAAATATATTCAAACTTTGATAAAAAAAATGTTGCAAAAATTGAACCAACCAATAGATTGAACTGAAAAAAATATTATTGGTTATTGAATTATTGGATTTTAAATGGGTTTATAAAAGAATGTTATTGAGTTATTGATTCGATATCAATTTTTACTATTGAGTTTTTGAATAAATCGATAACCCAATAAGACGATAATAATTTATAACTTTACCCTTCCTAAATATTAAATAGTAATAATTTATTATATAAATAGATATTATAACTATATCAAATTATTAGTACTCTATCCACTTCACACTGGGTTCACAATTGTAGCTATTTGATTTTAGTTTTAGTTTTAAGTCTTGTTGGACTATTTGATTTTAGTTTTGGTTTGTAATTGTAGGTTGTAGCTTTTACAAGTTTGTAAAGGTCTGCAATTTTAATTGATTGACATAAGAAATTTCATTTTATGTTTTGACGGTCATGACATTTAATTATAGCTTTTGAATTGTATTTTTTCTTATTGATGCAATTTCTCATTATCTTTCTTGTTTTACTATATCAAAACATTAAGAGAAGTGAAAAGTCATATAATTTTTATGAATATTTTCTTATTGGATAAATAGAAAATCGAACAGATAACATTCAAAAATCGATAAATCAAAACCAATAAAAATATCTTATTGGTTTGTTATTGGGTTAGCATATTTGAAAATCGATAAATCGAATAGATAATACATAAAAATTGAACCGAAACAATCAATGCACACCCCTACCTAATGTCCCGCACTATTTAATAGTATATTTTAAAGATATATAGGTTCCACGCAGACGTCATAAATCTTGTATTATTATAAATAGTGCACAGGAGTAATAGGTTCTGTCCAAAGTTTGTGATTACTACAATAATTCCGGTCAAAGTTCAGATATATTTTAGATCTTTTTTCCAAATTACATTTCATAGTTAAAGGTATATATTTGTATGTTAAAAAATATATGTTATGTTTGATTGAGAATTTTTAGCTATCTATTGAAGATTTTTTTAAAAAAAAGTAGGGTAGTGATGAGTCCGAGATCTCGATTCATTTAGGGCTTTGTTTAAATAGATTTAGTTTCCACAAATATCTAATTCATGCTATAAATTGATGTTAATACCTTGATTTTCAGGTTTTTGAGCTAAGGAGCAAGACAAGGACACTAACAGGCAAAATGAGCATAACAAGCTGAAGAAGTAGAGAAAAGCGATCCTGGTGATCACCAAGACCACTCGGCCACTCACCGAGTGGCTCTTAAGTCCGTCTAAAGTCTCAGTATGCAAGCCATGAGGGAGAAATCTAGTCAGCGACAAGAATAGGTAATCGGCAAATCGTCGTTTAGT